TATATATACCAACCGATAACGGAAACCACTAACCTTTTTCACTTTTTTTGTTTTGGCTCGGTACATGGCCAAGTCTGCAGAGAACGTGTCTGGATCGGATACGAGGGGCTTGTTCGACCCCTTATCTGTGGTCCCATCGTTGCTCTCAAGTGACTCTAGTCGTGCAAGAGCCGCGTCCTCCGCATCTTGTTTCTCCTGCGCTTCACGAGCCAGGCGATCCGCCTCGGCCTTTTTCTGTTCAAGACGGTGAGCTTCCAACCGTTTGGATTTGATAATTTCGCGACGCAGCTGTTCTGCCTCCTGACGCAAAGCAGCACTGAAACCGGTTGTCCAAGCCGGAATAATTGGTGAAATAGCATGATACACATGAAAATGATCATTTAAGCCTGCTAAACGAAGGTAAGAATAAAGGATTAAATGAATGAACCCATTTAACGTTCGTCCAGGCAGAACGCTCGACAGCAGAAACAGGAAAAAAACAAGACAGTGGTGGGCGCTTATGACGGGCCAAAGAGTTCACAAGGGTGGTTTATTCAAATGTTGTTGAAAATGTCATTGCTAGCTAAAACCGTTTCTTGTTGGAGCACTCTTAAATTTTTATTTTTATTTCTAGCACCTTTTAAGACCCTCTGTTAACCTTCATTTTCTAGCTGCAGATGGGTCAATTCGACAAATTTTCTCACTTTTTGTAACAATTATCAAGGTCGCTGTACACAAGGACTGGAATAATGTTCAAACAATCAAAGTTTTCTCTACCTAATATCTCTGTGCGTTTTTTATGCCTCGTCTCCACACCATCTGTTGACCTCCACACGGCTACAACCAATAAGGCAGTAGACGACAGTTTTGCATACGCGAAACCTATTAACCTGAATTGAATGAGTTAGCAAGTTTATCCCTGTCAAACTCCCAAACAAACGACTGCTTACCTCCAGATTACTAACCCGTTTGCTCCATCCCACGTGGGGCAAACTATATAAACACCAAATATCGAAAACATCCGATCGATAGAGATCACAAAGTCAAGGTTTCACAACAATAAAGTAGAACTGAACGAGTGGTAGCTCAATATACACGACCTTTCCACTTCAGTGAAGCGTCGGATCTGCACCAAAAGTGTTCCAGTCTTGTTTATGCTCCTTGAGTCTTAGAAGTAAGGGCGGTTACCTCCTTTGGTGCGCTACTGTCATTAGTTACACAAGTAACCAAGTAGGAAAAGCAATCCACTATAACCAATTGCTGGTAATTTAGCTTCACAGCGGGAGTAGGTGATACCCAGTCTTGCAGCATGACTTTACAATGGTGCATTCGAACAGACAGATATCATCGGTGTACTCTAAACTGCATAGCTTTTCTCTAGCTCCCCATTCAATACCTACGTTTTGGAGACCACTTGGTGCGTTCTCCAGTATTTCATCTATGAGGGAATTGAACAGGAATGGCATAATGGGGCACCTATGACGAACGCCGTTGCTGGTGACGAACGGCCTGCTTATTTTGTTATAAACCCTCACTCGACATCAGTAGGTTGAAGTTCTTTTGGGGATTCCTTTTTGAAGAAGGGAGCCCATCAGTGCTTCGCGGTCAACTGAGTCCAAGGCTTCTTTCATGTCAAGGAACGCTGCGACTGTCGGTCGACAGTGGGTGTGACGCAATTCAAGGACCTGCCGCAACGTAAAAATTTGATCAATACACTCACGTCCAGGTCGGAATCCGGCTTGTTGTTCACGAATGTTGGTCTCTCTTAGAGTCAGAATTCGAAGTATGACCGAGGCTAGCACTTTGGTGAAAATTGGGATCTAACTTATCCCGCGGTGGTTTGCGCAATCATTGTGAGATCTCTTCTTGAAAATGGAAACGATCAGTGATTCACTCTAAGATGAAGGAATGCACTCTTGTGTCTAAATGTTGTGCAGTAAGATGGTAATAAAGGTTACAAAATTAGCGGTCGTCATCTTGAAGAGTGAAAAGGAGCCCGTCCGGTCCTGCTGCCTTTCCTTTCTTGAGAGATTGAAACCGAGGCTCAACTTCTGTTTGTCAGAGGATCGCACGTCACTGTCCACGGAGACTCAGCGCTAGGCCAGCTGAACTGTTCGTTGAAGTATTCCGCCCGGCGATCAAGCCGTTGTTTCCTACTGTGAACCGCTTGTCACATTATATTGCAGACTGTTTTACTAACTGGAGTTCTCCGACCTCCCGTAATGCATGTCAGAACAGTCTGTGACCACTCCCTAATGCAGCTACTACTTTCATTTCACTAACTATTGTTGTCCAACAATTTTCACGGTCCTTCTTGAGCTGACGTTTCAGGCACCACCTAACCATGCAGTCATCGAATAGGCTTAATACTGAAAAAATACGGGTACAATCAAATGTCAAGGAATGGTGCACAACATGAAAGAGGAGAGATCAAAATTTATTCAACCCAAAGGAAAACGTAACGATTGTAACAGAAACACAGAAACACCTGATGTTGAAACCAAATGATAAAAAAGGAGAAGAAAAAGAATAAAAGCAAGCGACCTTGAATGGGTCATGCACGAGTTCACAAATACCAAGGTGTGCGTAATGTTGTTCGGAAGATAGAACATTTTCACTGGTGAACCTGATGTAGGGGGAAAAGATTGGACGAATCAACGACTCTTGAAGGACAAACAAATTTTACCTGGAAGCCAACACTGACTCGGGTTAGCAGTTTTTCTACATAGATAATGGTCCATTATTCGGAACTGGAACGTAACGTGATATGTGATAGGAACACAAAAAGGTAATCACTGCTGACGAATCCCAAACAGGATGAAATAGCTGTCCAGTGCTCTTTGTCGGTTATCACAAACATTTCCATCGCATGTGGCAACACAGTTCTGAAAAATTATAGGCTCATTCTGTATTTTTCCAGAATATGTCGTCCAGCCTCCGTAGACATGGAGTTAAAATACGAGGATTTAATGAGGTAAACGATCCTGTTAGAGTAGTTAAAGATCCCCACCCCCGGTGTTTGTGCTCACCTAAAGGATACGGCAACCTCAATTTCAAAACACCCTTTCGGTTAACACGAATAGGCAAACCATTGAAGGCGGTGGGAATTTCTAGAGAACAGTACAACATCCAGATGATTATTTGACAATCCAATAAACGATCAATGCAGCCCAGTAATGGTCAATCGCCGATGATATGAATCTAATCTTTCAAAATGCGAAGTGATCTCCATGCGGCACAAGACTCGTTTCTCCTATGTTCTGAGGAACTAAATACTGCCACATGCCACTGATAAAAGAGATTTGGGAGTTATGTTGCAACAGGACGTAGGATGTTTTACACACTGTGCCAGAGCACCTTCTATGACTCGAAAAAAAGTTGGATTACTTGAACGTGCTTTCGAGCAGTTCGAAATGGCACTGTTAACACGCTTGCTATCACCGTTCATTCGAAACCACACAGAATACGCCTTTCAAGTATAGAATCCATGGTTGAACCGTGACAAGAAGGGTCTAGGACATTAGCAAAGGTTTGCAAAAAAANAAAAAAATAGTAAATTTTTTGTACAACAAGACAGACGTCAGAAGACTGCAAATATTGGGCATTTACTAGTCTCAGTGCCGTCGACTTAAGGGGGACCTAATCTTAACATACCCCACTGCATCAACCCAACAACCCTAGGGGTTCTGTGTGAACTTTATCTTAAAATAATCACCTCAGGAGATATCCAACGAATTTAAATGCGATCGAAATGTTTGTGATAATTGACAAAGAGCCCTGGACATTTGCTTCGTCCTGCTTAGGACTCGTCAGCAGTGCGTACTTTTTGTGTCCTTGTCGGGATTCTAACCGCGAAAGTTCGGGCTGGGATTTTCAATCCTTGCCCCTGAACTAACGGTCGATGGGCATCACCTTCTCCGAATGGCTCAATCAACTTATACGGTGAATATTTGGATTGCCCATTCGGGTTGTCACGGGCACCAGGCACTGATGATGGTCGACCGTGTAGCTCGACGGTAAGGGTTTGAAGTCACAATCCGAAGGTTCGCGGTTAAAGTCCCGATAAGGACACAAAAAGCACGCACTACTGACGAGTCCCAAGCAGGACGAAACAGTTATCCAGTGCTCTTTGTCAGTCATCACAAACATTTCCACCGAATTCAGATGCATTTAACTGGTGGGGACTTAACGATCTCCCGAGGAGTAAAGTCTACACCCAAGATCATCAACAGTGCCTGGTGCTGGTGGAAAACCTAACGGGCTAATCCAAACACTCCCCCCTTAAAGATATCCATTGAAATTGAGGACCCAGAACAATCATCTAGATTGCCGGCACCACTCGTTTGTAGTCAGAGTGGGCAGTGTATGAAATTCTCCTCAATCCCAAGTTGTGTGCTCCTGTAGTTGAACCATCCATAACACAAATGATAAAGCATTGGAACACTTAGCATTTCAACATATGTTAGGGATCGTGTATATTATTATAATTTTTTATGTCTAGGGGTGTCAGAAACATTCCGTAAAAAAATACTATGGGACATTATAGGCGCTAGTCTTTTTAAATATCCCATAATAAGACTTTGAACCATGTCATCCATCGGGACGGGAATGAGACTTCATTGTCCATCATAAGAACTATTGCGTTTCAATGGACCAGGATTTATGCAGGGTGATGGACTGACCAGTTCTTCAACATTTTGTCAGCACTATCTGTATCCGAAAAAGATCACCACGAAGAAGTAGCGGATCCTGGAATTAATTACTGTCGCTTGGATATCCTCACAAGGCCCGCAAAATAAGTTGAGATCTAAGTTTAGACCGGAGTCTAACCACTTGTGTATGGACCTGATACAGACAGGACAACAATAACCATAATACCGCATAATATACTTCACACACGTTTGACGTCAGACTGTGTGGAACAAATCATGGTACAATGATCATTATAAAAAGAGAAAAACGTTCTATGATTTGCATGTGGGTTGAATACTGCCATGTTGCCCAGGCCAAGGCAGGTGAATTTTCTTGAGGAATCCACAACCGGAGCCTTCGGCTA